AAAGTACTATAGTGAAGACTTCAGCAAGTTCTGTGATCAGAAGATGAGTTGCATTATTACAACACTTAATTGGACAAGGCCATGGCCTGAACAACTCCTCCAAGCATTCTTTGTTGCTGCTAAGTGCATTTGGTTGCTGCATTTGTTGGTGTTTTCGTTCAATCCTCCTCTCGGGATTCTACGAGTGGAAGAGAATAGAACCTTTGATATGCATTACATGGAAGACGTTTTCGCGGATAGGCAAAGATCACAAGGTCCTAGCAAGGTCAAGGTCATGGTTATGCCTGGTTTTTATGTGCATGATAGAGTACTTAGGTGTAAGGTAATATGCAGGTACAAAAATGTAGCATAGATTGATTTTCTTCCTTAGTAATCTAACTTGTAATAGTGGTTTCTTTGCTGATTATTTATTTTGAGTGAGTTCTATAAACAAGTTGCCATATTGTGATCTAAACTTCATAAAATAAATGTAGCAAATAATTATCTTCAGTTTGGAGGAAAATTCTGTTAGTGCGCCAGAAAGTGATATCTTTTGGGCTAAAGAGTTGCAAAAAATTGTATACCTTTTGGGCTGGGCTATTCAGTTAGAACCTTGTGATTCTATGGCCTCATGTGTTTTTAAAGGAATTTTTACATTCCTATGCCATATAGTAAACTATATTGCCCTTCATGCTTAATTTTTAATATAATTACCTTCTATATACCTAATTACCAATTATGTACCATTTTAGGATTTTAATGGTATTAATTAGTCTCCTAATTTTACTCAACAGTATATTCTCACTCCCCCAAGTTTCTCTCTCCAAATCCCCACGATTTCCTCTTCTAAAACCAGCGAAAATCTGTAACCCCTCTACCATTGACAACCATTAAAAAGCTTTGAAGCTTTGAATTCGAATTTGGGGTTTCAAAAGACATTGTTTGTTTGGATTGGCTGTTGTTGCAAAGAATTGAGAAGTCTCTCTACGTCTCTCTCTATCTCTCAATCCCAAATTTCAGTAATATAAGAGGAAAGGAAAATAGAGCAGCAATTCCACCATTGACAGCCATTAAAAAGCTTTGAAGCTTTGAATTCGAATTTGAGTTTTCACAAATCATTATTTATTTGGATTGGGTGTCGTTCCAAATAATTGAGAATATGGTTTGGAGTTTATATCTCAATTTTGAGGGGTTTTGGTGAAGATTAGACTTGGTTTTGGCTGAATTTCAGATAGAAACTCGAAGAAGAAGAAGACATGACATACATTATATTGCAGAAATTGTAGTAAATTGTAGAAAAAATGTATTCGGTTGTTTATTTATTTTTGAGCTTTGTGCTTTTGTATTAAAATTTTTGATGGGAGCTTGTTATTCCACTTCGTCTGTTTTGGAGCTAACTTGTGTAGAGGAGAAGATGTTTTTTTAAGTTATATATATTGACATACCTTTAAAATTCAAGAAAGTATGGTTGTATTGTATTTAAAGAGGCGTGAATTTGTAGAATAGGTTGAATGTGAGGAATGAGTCAAATAAGACTCACAATGGCTTATTTTCGGGGACACATAATTGAGGAATTGAAATTAGGTTGTGCTTCATCTATTGATCAAGTTGCTATAGTCAAAAGCCAAGAACATGACCATTTATTTAGTTGCTTGATGATTGTAAAGTAAAGTGAGGCACATGACCAATTTTCTAGTTGCTTGTGGATTTGTAAAGTTACGTGAGTTGAGTGCGGATGCACAAAAAGTCTTCTTGACTTTGCAGAACTAAGCATGAGGTGCGGACGCACAATTTACTACTATAAAATTGTATTCTTTTATTCATTTATCTATGGCGTATATCAGTATGAATTTTCACAATATCTACAAAATTTCTACGTTTATTCTACAAAAAAACTACATACCATTTGAAAAATTAATATGAAAATACCGAATTTCAATGTTTCTACAAATTATCTACAAAATTTCTACAAACTGTTCACAACAGAATTTATCTTTATTTTCATGCATGTTCGTCTGGAACACTAAAGTTACTTGATATGCCAACATCTCCCGTTATAGAGGAATACAACTTATCTATAATTTTCTACAACTTTTACACATTATTTCCACCCAGTTAAATACAACTACAATAACAGAAACTTACATACAAATTTTATACAAATTTATACAATATGTCTTTTGTATATTTTGTATCTGATTTATACATAGTAAAAACAAAANAGTTTCAATCTGAAATTCAGTCAAAACCAAGTCTAATCTTCACCAAAACCCCCAAAATTAAGATAAAAACTCCAAACCATATTCCCAATTATTTTCAACAACACATAATCCAAACAAATAATGATTTTTGAAAACCCAAATTTGAATTCAAAGCTTTAATGCTTTTTAATGGTTGTCAATGGTGGAATTGCTGCTCTTTTTTCCTTTGCTTTGTATTACTGAAATTTGGGATTGAGAGATAGAGAGAGACGTAGAGAGAATTCTCAATTCTTTGCAACAACATCCAATCCAAACAAACAAATGTCTTCTGAAAACCCAGATTTAAATTCAAAGCTTCAAAACTTTTTAATGGTTGTTAATGGTGTAGATTTTCGCTAGTTTTAGAAGAAAAAATCGTGGGTAATTGAAGAGAAAATCGTGGGGTGTGGTTTGATACGTGAGTGAGGTGGTTGTAAAATATCTGGAAGAATATTTAATTCCCCAATATTAGCGCCCCTAAATAAGGAAGCCTACAACTACAATGATTCCTTATTTAATGAATTGTCTATATTTTGTAGAAATACTATTAGTATGACTGATAATATGCAGACTATGAACATATTTGGTAATATAGTTTCCTATATGGTATAAGAACTTTTAAAAGAAATTTCAAGTTTATAACTTTCTAGGCTACACCCAATATTATTTCATGAAACTAGCAAGGGCTAGCCAGTTTTCGGACTAGTAATCGAAAAATAGCCAACGTTAAAAGTCATTAACAAATAACCACTGTTTTGCTGAAACATGTAAAGTTCCATCATAATATACGAGATTATGGAGCTCATGCGTATAAATTTCTAGCATATTATAATATGCGGGATTATGGAGCTCCTGCATATAATCTTCCCGCATATTATGTTAGAACTCCATCACATTATGAAATTCCAGCATATTATGTTGGAAGCTCATATGCAAAAAATTTAAACTTCAGCATATTATGCTGGAATATTTCCAAATTTTAAGGGTATTTTTATTCAGATTTTATCTTTACATGAAAAAATGACTAAATTTCAATTACTTTTGAAACTTTAACTATTTTTCAATTATCAGTTATAAATTTGGCTACTTTTCCCCCCTATTATCTCGAGCCTATGGACTTAGTTTGACGGGATCAATATGCGATCAAGAAAATCTTACTTGGAAGGAATGGCCTCTGATGCACTTCAGAAAGCTACCTACCTAAGGCCGGTCTAAGTGGTCGAGCCTACTTATAATTTGTGAAAATAGGACTTTGCCTTCCGTATTTCCATAGTTAAGAAAATTGAGTTTGCCATGAAGAAATAGATATCTTAAGCCTATTGATTTACCTAGATGGGATCAAAGGGCGACGAAGAAGGCTCATGGCATAGGCTAATTACCTCTATTGTATTTTCAATGGATGCCCTAAGTGATCGAATATACCTCATAATTTATGACAATAATAACTTGTATTAGTCCCTTTAAAAAATATATTTATTGACTAAGTGTGAATCATAAAAAAACTTATTGAGTTATTTCAAACGGGACCAACACATTTCATACAATAATTAGATGCTATTGTGGCACAAAACTATTGGTAATAATATACCTATAGTTTGATGATTTACACTTCCAAAATTTATATGAATTAATAATTCCAAAAAGTAGAGCAGCAATGAATCTGTCAATAGACACACTTATGATTATTGGTGTTGTAGTATTATATTCGAATGACAAAAAATCTAGCCAAAGATGTATGATAGTACTTCTACAACAATTGGTCCATACTTTTCCACGTTCATGATTCATGAGTCCATAATAATTTAAAGTAAGTCCATGTTGGAATATTATACGTGTCTCATAGAAAGCTACTCCTCTGGCACAAAAAATAAAGATAACAATAATAATGACATATTCGGTGTAATCTCACAAATAAATTTAAAAATAATAAAGTGTATATATACCTTATTTCTGTCCTGTGCACGTAAATAGACTATTTCCGAAAGACCCTCGGCAAAAAAACGAAAATTAGGGAAAAAATTCAATGACGAAAGTGCTTCTCTCTCAATATTTATACAAATTATATTGTTTTTTAGAATAAATTTGATTGAATTTTTAAAATAATTTGTACAAGAAAAAAAGAAACCTCTGAAAACTAGATAAGAAATACTATCAAATAAAGTTGCATTTTGACCTTTGAATATGACAAACATTGCAAAAAGGTCTAGTTAGGGTAAAATAATAGTAATTGTTTAACGCTTAGACCATTTTTTTACATTATTTAAATTGTAATAGTATTTATCTTGTAAAATTTTCAAAAATAATAAAGAATAGACACTTTCTAATTTCATGGATCATTTTCTTTGGTTAATTAGGTTATTTTTTTAAACGCATGTCTATAATTCGATTTAAAATAAATTTTACTTACAACGTGTTAAGACAATGATAAATTTTGTCCCGATCTAAAGAAAAGGGTATGACGTGTGATGTGTGAGTTAGACATACCTCACATGTCTGAAACTTGAGAACCCATTATCTACGGAGTTTTAAATTTTGCACCAATTATTGTTAAATTTTTTTAATTATAGAAAAATATAGTGATAAAATTTGTGAATTATTAATCAACACAATATTTCAAGTTTTAATATCTCAAAATTAGGTTTTGCATATTCTTATTCACTACTTTTGCTAGCTATAGAAAATTTACAAAAGTTATTCTTTCCTAGATATTCAATAATATCTAAGATACTTTGATATTTTCACTTTAGATATTTCCACCAACACATGCACTTTTTCCATATTAAAAGGGCCCCAAAAAAGCAACAACAAAAATATCTCACCTTCTTCACTCACCGAACCTTCTAGACACAAGGCATTCCACTATGTCCACGTCAGCCATTGACGTCGCCGGCGAAGCCACCGGTTCCGACGACGGCGTTCTAGAAACTCCGTTTCTCGACGCGGAACGCTCCAATCTCCTTCAGCTGATAGCCGAGGAAGGCGGCTACGCGTACGTTAGCATGGCGACACTCGCAGCCGCCGGAGATATTCGAGCGGCGGAGGCGGCGAAGGAGATGGCATGGGAACAGTTACACTCAGGTCCATGGCATTCGGTTGTGCCTATATGGAGAGATGCGTATTCCATGGCGTGTGTTCACTTGGCGAAACTTCATTATGCTTCCGGTGAGATTACTCAGGCGATTAGAGCACTTGATATGGGCCTTATTATGGGAGGAATGACGCTTAGAGATGAGCTGAACCTCGCAATCAAAAAGGCGTCGAAGAAAGCGCGGAGTGTGCTGTTTGCTTCCTCGGAAAATGGAGGCGAAAAAGGTGAATCCGAGATTAAATTTGTTTCTCAAGAAATTAACGTGGCGGAGGTGAGGTTCGTCACTCGCAATCTACGTTTTATTCTGTTGTTCAGCTCGCTATTAAGCTCTATTTAAGGTAAAGGGAAAAATGTGATTTTGATAATCAATTTTACTCCCCTCCGTTTCAATATAGAGCTTAAGAAAAAAAGTAAGAGTTTTGAAACTTATGATCTTGAACATATCATAGCTATAAAAGCTTAATGGCTTATCATTAAGCAATAAATGAGAAATCTAAGTTAAATTATTTTCAAATTTAGAAAAGATCATTCTTTGTGGAACCGACAAAAAAACTTGAAACCAAGGGAGAACCCTTTTTTCTTTTGATAATCAAGAATGGTTCAACTCAGTGGCTAATGGGCTTGCGGCTCTACTCTCATCCACTTAAATGCCAGTTTTTTTTGGTCTATGGGGGATCAAATTTGTGACGTGCGCCTAAATCACACTTCACAAGTTGGGCGCTTACCAGTTACCACTAGACCAAAGCCCTGGGGCAGAATGGATGGAGAAATTATGACTATTTTAAGTCTTTTTAGAATTTACGGAACTTTAAGAAATTTAAAGCAAGTTTTTATTTAAAGTGCATTGCCTTGTGCTCTATTCACTTAAATCAATGTCTATACATGTCTGCTTAGTCATAAGGATATGAGGATCATTTCACTTGAAATATTTTGGTGAAATTCTTGTATGACTTCGCTCTCTGTGTGTGTATATTGTGCGTAATATGCTAATGGAGGAACTGATGGATTAGAATTGGAAGTTAGCTTATATTATCGCTGGTTTTAAATGTGGAATAAGATCAAATTGAAATAAAAGAAGGAGCAGTTCGTTTGTATACTTGTTAAGAAGAAATAAAAGGAAAAATAAATGTTTTTATTGTAATTCTTTTAACTTCTTCCTCAAGGATTCATATGTTTTCTTCATGGTTGCTTTTCTCATTCCCTTTTAATGAACTAATAAAAAAATTCTGCATTTCTTTTTTATTCATCTCCCTGTTCAATCTTCAGTCATTGTTAATCCCCCCTCTTCGCGTTTTGCGCTATGTGGTATATTATGAATGAGTAATTGTGGAGCAGGGTAGGTAGTAATAAGATTCTTTGCTTGTTTAAGCTCTGGAAAAATATGATTAGGAACTTTGGGTTTGTTAATCTACTTTCTGAGTCTTTTTTGGTCAAGGGATCTACTTTCTAAATCTTACTAGGGAGATTTTCTAAATCTAGAAATGTTTTATAGTTTCACATCCAATTTAGCAAATTGTAATATAAAGCATCCAATTCTGGGATGCTGTTTGCATTTTGTAATTAATGGGTTTAGGTTTTCATGGTATGCCCCAATGAAGGAGTAGGATCATCTTTAAATCCTTGGTTATAACATTTTTCTCTAATCGGTTGTAAAACCTATTTAAATCTTCTGTTATAGCATTTTAGTCTATTTGTTACAAATGACTGTTGAACAATTTGAATGCATCTTACTAATAATATTAATGGATACATGTTTCTAGTCTATTTGTTCTAGCATTTGATTTGAGAGTTAATAGTGTATTTGAGACGAGAAGTGTGATTATTTATCTATTGTTTGACTTTGCAGGTGCAGCAGTTTTTACCTATTAAGTCACTGTCTTGTAAGATAGTAGGGAAAAGGTCAGCCTTATCGTTGGAGGTATTCCTGAGAGATCATTATTTGTCAGGAATCCCGGTGGTAATCAGAGATTCCATGGATCACTGGCCTGCCAAGAATAAGTGGAACGACATGAATTACCTTAGAAGGGTTGCTGGCTTCCGTACAGTTCCTGTTGAGGTGATTACATTTACTCAGATTGTCATTTCAAGTAAATTGAACTCTATATCTGTTGCATATTCCAACATTAAATTGATCAGCAGCTTCTAACCATATCAAGAAGATAAGTTCTTTTTTTAAAGCAAATGATACAAGAACGTAAGTCCGTATAATATATTTTGTCTAAGTTAGAATATAGAAAGAAAGAAAGAAAATTTCCATTTCAAAAAAAAAAAAAAGAATTTAGAAAGAAAATAGGAGATGGAATTGATTCACACATTGATTGCATTAAAGTTGACATCGCTCACAGGAGACACTTTTTTAATTCACACATTGATTGCATTGGGAGAGACCTGCATATTCTACTTTTCACTCAAAACTTGATATTGAGTTAAACCATCTTGCAGGTCGGAAAGAACTATTTGTGCCCAGAATGGAAGCAAGAGCTGATCACATTCTCTGAATTTCTTGAGAGAATCTGGTCCAATGATGCTACCTCTGTGGAAACTACTTACTTGGCTCAGCATCAATTATTTGATCAGGTAAAGTATTTCCTCTATATTTGGTTCTGTATATTTGTGTAAACACCTTTTTCCTTGAACTTATTGTTTTGGAATTAGTGGCTTAGCTCTGTAGCTAAATGACAGATACAAGAACTACGACAAGATATTGTTATTCCTGATTATTGTTTTACTGGAGGTGGGGAGATCAGGTCGCTTAATGCTTGGTTTGGTCCAGCGGGGACTGTGACGCCTTTGCATCATGATCCTCACCATAATATACTTGCTCAGGTACAGCCATTGCTGCAAACACATTTTTACAATAAGATAGACCTGAGCTTAACAAAAAGTTCAAAATCAGGTTGAGCTATAGGTGATTGCTTTGATTGATTCTACTTTAAGGGGAAAAGTTACAGTAACTGTGTGTATGTTGATGTGTTCCATTTTTATTACTTGTGATCTTCTGCATTTCACTTTACAGGTTGTTGGCAAAAAGTATGTACGGCTTTACCCAGCATCACTTTCGGATGAGCTTCACCCACATAGTGAAACCATGCTTAGCAATTCCAGCCAGGTATATATGCCTCTCCATTATTTTTAATTGCAGTTCACTAGCATTGTGATATCCATGGTCTTTTAGCATATTCACTCTTTTTACCCTTTGGCAGATGTTACTACCTCCATTCATGTCAGTGTCTTTTGCTACTCAGCATGGTATTTAAAAGAAGGTTGAAAATGTTAGTTGTTTGGTCATGTTTTGGATGGCCTGAAAAGGAAAGTAGGACTATACTTTTAGGACAGAGTGGATACTATATTTTCTAGGGAAAAAGTTACCGGTTTCTCTTCCATGCTTGCTTTGCTGTACATAGCTGCACATGACACATGTCGGGGAAGAAGAGAACTATTATATGCATAAGATATGGTTACTCATGCAGTAACTATACATTTGCATCTGAAGGCTCTGCTTCTCTTACATATCTGAGGGTTCCACTTATATTATCATACCTCTCTTTGATGAACTTATGATATCGTTTTGCGGTTCCAATTTTACAGTTGTTGCTTCCTTGAGATGGTTGATGTAGCCCAGCTTATCGTCTTACGTTTGAAATCTTGTTTGAAGGTTGATCTAGACAACATTGATGAGAAAGAGTTCCCGAAGATATTAGACCTGGAGTTTCAGGACTGCATTTTAGAGGAAGGTGAGATGCTTTACATCCCCCCTAAATGGTGGCACTACGTCCGCTCTCTCACGACAAGCTTTTCAGTTAGCTTTTGGTGGAGTGGCGCTGAAAATTAGATGGCTGATCGGTTTTAGTAGTTCCTATGGCCTATTCTTCTCGTGTATACAAAGAACTAGTTGAACTGTTGAACTGTTCAACCATCATTCTTCTGCAGATTGTAATGTGGACTTCACCATATCGAGAGTATTACGCGTGCCCTTTACTCTAATGTATTAACTGCAGGAACTTATATTAGAAGAAAAACTTCTTACTTATGATTTGTATGTTCTTGACTCAAATAGAATCAGTGTGGTTGTTTCATCTAGAAGTAGCCTTCTTTTTGCATTGTGACACTGATGATAAATTTTCATAAAGTGGCAATCTTGCTTTATTACTTGAATGTTTGACTGAGCATTATCAGGAATTTGGAAAATGATCTATTTTATATATATACTGATAGTAGTAAGCAGTGGTGGCAAAATGGTTAAAAGAAATACTTATCTATCTATATTATCCACTAAAAAATAAATTGGATAATGAACTTTTTAAAAATGCGTCAGAATTTGAGAATCTGGTGGAATTTTAGTTTTTGGCCCTAATACGTCAAGAAATGAGGAACAGTTATGACGAAGCGATTACATTATTGTTCCTTACGTCATTTTTTATGGTTCGATAAAATTTTAAGCGATTCGGGTCCGGTCACCTGAATGCACGTAGATGGCGTGGTTATAGCACACGAAAATTTGGGAATTGGGGGAGATTCCAGTTTTTGGGCCTAAAACGCCAAAAAATGAGAAACAGTTATGGCGAAACGATGACTATTGTTCTTTATATCGTTTTTGATGGGTCGGCAAAATTTTAGGCGATTCGAGCATGGTGCTCGGATGCATGCAGATGGTGTGAGATATAACACACAAAAATTTGAAAATTAGGCGAAATTTCAATTTTTTGGCCCTAAAGCGCCAAAAATCGAGCAACAGTCATGGCAAAACGATGATTATTATTCCTTAGGTCTATTTTGATGGGCCGACAAAATTTTAGATGATTCGGGTCCGGTCGGCCGGATGCATGTAGATGACGTGGGCTATAACATACGAAAATTTGGAAACCCGGTCGAATTTAAGTTTTTTCGCCCTAAAATGTCAAAAAACGAGGAACAGTTAGGGCGATGACCGTAGTTCCTTAGGACGTTTTTGATGGGCCGACAAATTTTGGGTGATTCGGGTCAGGTCGCCCGGATGCATGTATATAATTCTTATTTTTTTTGCCCTAAAACACCAAAAAAATGGGGAACAACCATGGCGAATCAATGACTATTATTCTTTAGATCGTTTTTCTTGGTCTGACAAACTTTTAAGGCGATTCAGACCGGTTGCCTGGATGCATGCAGATGATGTAGGTTATAGAGCACAAAAATTTGAGAATCGAGCGAAATTTCAGTTTTTTGGCCCTAAAACGCCAAAAATGAAGAACGGCCATGGCGAGACGATGACTAATATTTTTAGGTCATTATTTTAGGCGATTCGGATCCGGGCGCTTGGACACATGCGGATGGTGTGGGCTATATCACACGAAAATCTAGAAATCAGGCGGAATTCTAATTTTATGGCCCTAAAACGCCAAAAAATGAGCAACGACCAGGATGAGGCGATGACTAATGTTCCTTAGGTCATTTTTGATGGGTCAACAAAATTTTAGGCGATTCGGGTCGAGGCGCCCAAACCCATGTAAATGGCCTGAGCTATAGCACATGAAAATTTGGGAATCATGCGAAATTCCAGTTTCTTTGCCCTAATATGCCAAAAAATAAGGAACAACCATGGTAAAACGATGACTATTCTTCCTAACGTCGTTTTTTATGGGCCGATAAAACTTTATGAGACTCGTGTCTGGTTGCCCGGATGCATTTAGTTGGCGTAATACCAATTTTTTTGCCCTAAACGACAAAAAACGAGGAACACTTAGGTCATTTTTGATTTCCTTATTTTTGATGGTTCAAGAAATTTTTACGTGATTTGGGACTGGTTGCCGGCATGCATGCAGATGACAAGGGCTATAGCATACGAAAATCTTGTAATCGAGCGGAATTTCAGTTTTTTGGCCCTAAAACGCCAAAAAGAGGATCGGTCATGGCGAAGCGATGACTATTGTTCCTTAGATTATTTTTGATGGGCCGACAAAATTTTAGGCAATTGGGGTCCGATCGCCCGGATGCATCCATATGGCATGGGTTATAACACACGAAAATTTGAACGAGTGAGATTCCATTTTTGGCTCTAAAACGCCAACAATTAGGGAACGATCATGGCGAAGCGATGGCGATTATTGCTTAAGTCGTTTTGTTGGTCCGACAACATTTCAGACGTTTCGGAACCGGTCGCCTGGATGCATGCAGATGGCGTTGGCTATAGCACACGAAAATTTGGGAATTAGACGGAATTTCAAAATTTCCCCCCTAAAATGCCAAAAAACGAGGAACGATCATGGCGAAGCGATGACTATTGTTCCTTAAGTCATTTTTGATAACATGAAAATCTTTTAGGCGATTCGGGTCTGTCGCCCATATACATGTAGATGGTGTAGGCTATAACGCACAAAAATTTGAGAATCAGGCGAAATTCCTTTTTTGCCCTAAAATGCCAAAAACGAGAAATAGTCATGGAGAAGTGATGATTATTGTTCCATAAGTCATTTCTGATGGTCCGAAATATTTTTAGGTGATTCGGGACCGATCGCCCGGACCCAATGCAGATGGCATAGGCTATAACACATGAAAATCTAGGTATCAGGCGAAATTCCAGTTTTATGACCCGAATACGCCAAAAAATGAGGAACGGTCATGGCGAAGTGATGACTAATATTTCTTAGGTTCTTTTTGATGGACCAACAAAATTATAGGCGATTCGGGCCCCGACACCTGGACGCATGCAGATGACATGAGCTATAGCACATGAAAATTTGAAAATCGGGCGAAATTTCAGTTTTATGGCCCTAAAACGCCAAAACATATGAGGATCGGGCATGTCGAGGTAATGGCTAATGTTGCTTAGGTCATTTTTGATGGGCCGACAAAATTTTAGGTGACTCAAGCTTGGACGAACGGACCCATGCGGATGCTGTGGGTTATAGAATACGAAACTATAGGAATTGAGCGGAATTCCAGTTTTATGGCCTAAAACACCAAAAAAGAGGAACAATGATGGCGAGATGATGACTAATGCTTCTTACGCCATTTTTATGGGCCGACAAAAATTTAGGTGATTCGGGTTCGGGTGACCGGACCCATATTAGATGGCGTGGGTTACAACATATGAAAATTTGGGAATCGGGCAGAATTTCAGTCTTGTTACCCTAAAATGCTAAAAAATGAGAAACAATCATGGCGAGGCGATGACTAATGTTCCTTAGGTTATTTTTGATGGGCCGACAAAATTTTAGGTGATTCGGGTCCGGCGGTCGAACCCCTGCAGATGGAGTGGGTTGTACAAGCACACGAAAATTTGGGAATCGGGCGAGATTCTCATTTTATGGCCCTAAAACGCCAAAAAATAACGAACGGTCACGGCGAGGCAATGACTAATGTTCCTTAGCTCATTTTTTATTGGCCATCTTAATTTTAGGCGATTCGGGTATGGGCACCAGAACCCATGCGAATGACGTGGGCTGTCTCATACGAAAATCTGAGAATCAGGCGGAATTCTAGTTTTATGGCCTTAAATCATCAAAAAATAAGGAACGATTATGGCGAGGCGATGACTAATGCTTCTTAGGTCAATATTTATAGGCCGTCAAAATTTTAGGCAATTCAGGTCTGCGCACCTGGACCTATGCCGATGATGTGGGCTATAACACATAAAATATGGGATTGAGGTGTAATTCAAATTTTATGGCCCGAAAACGCCAATAAACGAGCAAAGGCCAAGGAAATGTGATGACTTCCTTAGGTCATTTTTGATGGGCCGGAAAAAGTTTAGGTGATTCAAATCCTGGCGCCCAGATCCATATGGATGGCGTGGGCTAAAACGCACAAAAATCTGGAAATTTGGAAGAATTCCAATTTTATGGCCCTAAAAAGCCAAAATCCGAGGAACGTTCATGGCGAGGCAGTGACCAATATTCCTTAGGTTTTATTCTATGGGTCAACTAAATTTTCAGCGATTCAGGTTTAGGACCCTGGACCTATGCGTATGGCGTGAGTTATAACACATAAAAATGTGGAAATCGAGCAGAATTCTAATTTTATGGCCCTAAAATGCCAAAAAATGAGGAACGGTCATGGTGTGGTGATGACTGATGTTCCTTAGGTTGTTTTTAATGGACCGATAAAACATTTGGCGATCTGAACCGGGCGCCCGGACCCATGCGGATGGCGTGGACATCACACAAAAATTTGGGAATCGGGCGAAGTTCTAGTTTTATGGCCGTAAAATGCCTAAAAATGAGGAGATGTCACGGCGAGGCGATGACTAATGTTACTTAGGTTGTTGTTGAAGGACCAACATAGATAAGTGAGCTATAGCGCACGAAAATATGAGAATAAGGCGAAATTCCAAATCTATGGTCCTAAAACGCCAAAAAATGAGGAACCGCCATGGCGAGGCGATGACTAATGTTCGTTAGGTCATGTTTGACAGGGCAGGTAAAATTTTAGGAGATTCGGGTGCGGGCGCCCGGACCCATGTGGATAACATGGTCTATAGCATATGAAAATATGGAAATTGTGTGAAATTTCTGTTTTATGTCCTTAAAACGCTAAAAAATAAGGAACGGTAATGTAGAGGCGATGACTAATGTTTCTAAGGTCATTTTTATAAGGCCGACAAAAGTTTAGGCTATTTGGGTCCGGGCACCCAGACCTATGCGGATGGCGTGGGCTAAAACACACGAAAATCTAAGAATCTTGCGGAATTCCTGTTTAATGGCCCTAAAACGCCAAAAAAGAGGAATGATCATGGCGAGGCCATGGCTCATGTTCCTTATGTCGTTTTAGATGGACCGAATTATTTTTAGGTGATCTGGGTCTGGGCGCCCGGACACATGCGTATGGCGTGGGCTATATCACACGAAAATCTGGGAATAGCGCAGAGATCTAGTTGAATGGCCGTAAAGCACAAAAAATGAGGAAATATCATGGTGAGCTGATGACTTAAGTTCTTTAGGTTGTTTTTGATGGACCGATAAAATTTTAGGCGATCCGGGTCCGGACGACCGAACCCATACGGATGGCGTAAGCTATTGCACACGAAAATTTGAGAATCAGACGGAGTTCTAGTTTTAGTTGACCAATGAATATATTAAAAGAAGCCTTACTTGGTAGCTTACAAA